TGCATTTTCTGATGCGTTTTATTTTAAGTGAATCACTTGAGAAATTGAGTCATGTCTTATTTCATCAATAAAGTTATTTCATCATGATAGTTTTGGGATTATGACTTTTCATTTCATATATATTTCTCAGTATTCTACAGTGAACTAAGCAAATAATATATTGATTAATAATAAAAGTTTGTAAGATTCTCCAAGTAACTATTTTTCCCCGCAATAAAACGAAATTGTCAAAGAACTTGACTAAAGAGTTATTTTTAGTAAACTTTCGAGTAAATCAATCAACTTCTGAATCTCGATTTTATCGTTTAATACCTTTCACCCGAAAAATGGAAGGAATTTCGTATTTCTTTTTTTTTTTTTTATCGAGAAAGTTGAATATTTTTTTAGGGATCTCTTGCAGGATTGAATCGTTCGCGGAGCTTTTATAATCCGATCGACAGGTGTTGTCGCGACTTACATTATCTTCGGGGCGTGGCACATGTTGCGTGCATTTAATTACGCGTAATTATTCACTTAGTCTGTTATGCCAACAGCAACAGCAGCAGAAAGAAAAAAAAAAAAAAAAAAATGGAAAGGTAGAGGCAAAAGTGGCCCTTAATTGCAAGCGTTTCCCGCTAATTGCCCGAACCACGATCCCAAATGAAAGACAAGGGGTCGCTGGAAAATGCGGCGGAAAATCTGCGGATGGCGTCTCGGACCTGCGCTTATTTTTTTTTCTTTTGGCTTGGGAAATGTAAGAGGTGTCTTACATGTGTTTGCCACCGCCCAAAGTTTAGCTTTTATCGCATTTTCTTGTAATTCTCACGTGATTCACAAGCGAAGCGATTAACGTTAACAAAGTGGAGGGCTTAGAACGAGTGGGATGCGTGGAAAAATAATGGAAAATACAGAAGAACTTGAATATTAGTTCACTTTTTTTTACTCAACCTATGAACAAATAAATTTAACTCTGAATTAAAGTAGTTATCCACTTAAAGAGCCATCCTCGTTGAAGAGATTATGGAAAAGGATTTAATCGAAATCCAGTTGTTCTTTTCCGTATGCGATAACCATTCTCTTTTGACCCGCATTGTTGAACATGGAATCTGAGCATTCACTAAGCTCCAGTGATCCAGAAGAGGCTGAAATCGATGCCAGCGAAAGACTTTCTTTCGGCTTTCTATTGCTACTCAACCAAAGGTACATATAACTCACCTCAGCTGTTCATTCAGTTTCCTTGTAAACAAAATGCAGTTTCCGGATGCAAAAAGGTTCTAAATATTTGAATTAGTTAGAATAGTTTGCTAGGTATTGATATTTTCCGTTTGATTCTAGGGTTAAACACTTAAAGACACTTAGCACTGTTATTTCTATTCAATTTGAAGTCACTTTGCAGAACCTAAAGTAAATGCCATCTTTAGTGTCTTGGGTGCCACACTCAATTTAATTAAGTTTGCTGAGTGAAATGGGTTATGGAAAAGCGGGCATCAAATTATTTTATACTAGCTTCCCCCCAACTTTTTGCTTTTCACTGCCAGCCACCCACTTTTAGACACCTTTTCCATTTAACTGGATTGCCAAACGCAGGTTAATGGAAAATATACACAGCTATTAGAGGTTTAGTACGGGTTTTATGTGAAAATGTTTAAGTTTTTTTTGTGAACTTAAAATGTCATCATTAGTTTAAATTTCAACACAATAGAATCCTTTTTTAATTGGTTAAAAAACCTGCTATATTCGTGTCTCTAATTAGCTGTCAATATCTGTGCGTTCATTTGTATATAAAAAGCAGATGGAGGTGACCCCATCCTTTCACCATGCTCCTTTGTGCTTGTGTGTGTAGGTCAAGTGCAGGCGTTGACAAATTGTCGTCGGTGTTTGCGTGCTGTCTTGCACAATCCTGTTTGCATTTGACAGGCGATGGCATAAAATAACAATAATGATGACAGCACCTGGCCTGCACTCGAGCGCCATCTATCCTATTTCCCCACTCCCTTACAGTCTGCCCCCCTTCTAACGGCCACCTGCCACATGCCATCCGCACCACCAGCTGGCAAGTGATGACGCAAATAGCTATGTGGTACAGATAACTATAGATCTTAGTTAGGGAACCCTTAAGATATGAAACCTGACTTGAATGGTGGTTACAAAATCGATTTTCTACGAATTAAAAAAATTTTAAATGCAATTTGTTTAAGGGACATTGTACTTCGAAATAAGAAAGTCTTAACCAATTGTCAATGATGTCTATTTGTTTGAAATCGTCATCAATCATCCCATTTTATTTGTATTTCATTCAATATTAATAAATATTTTATTTTAAAACTACAACAAGATTTAAAGATAATAAGATAAAGCCAATCGACTTATTTTTTAGACATAAAATAGCTAGAATATCAGACTCGTTTTGTGCGTGACGTCAGCATTCTACGTGCTACGTGCCGAAGTCCCTGTCTCTCTTTCTCTGCCGCTCCCGCTGCCTCTGTCAGCTTCTCTGCCGGCGTCGATTTTCACACGCTGCAACTTCGGAGATTATTATTGCTGTTATTGTTGGGTATTCGGTTTCGTTCGTCACTGGTCGTCTGACTTTTTCCCTTATACGGAAAGAAGTTGCGAGAAATAGCGTTAAGCCATGGGGAATTTCGGAAGGAGTGGGAGCTATTTGCATAGGATGTTTGGTGGGCCCACCTGATATCTCGAAACACTACAGTCGAACTCTTTCCCCGAACACCTCCAGAAATTCTCTTAAGCAAAACAAAAACAAAGAAATGAAAAATATCGACAATTAAAAGTGATAATAAAACGTCGTGCAAATCTTGTGATATATAAAATAACATAAGCCCTTTAAGTGTATAATAATGAAAGTAAAAAAAACGAAACGCAATAAATTGTATTTAGTAAAAATTAAAAGTACTACCGAAAATGCAAATTAGAAATTATAAAGAAGTATTCACATTCAATAGTGCCAAAATAACTCACAAAAGAGCCGCTCGCGAAATTCGTAAAGGAAAATACGCGTTAATAATACAATGTGTGAAAAGCGACCGTTATCACTGCGTATCACTGATCATCAAAACTTCTAAAAACTTAAGAATAAGATTTTTTAAAAAGAGACTACAAGTGATCAAAAGTGAACCGGTGAACGCGGTCCAAAGTGCCTGTGAAATGCTCACTTTTTTTCCCTTGATTGCAGCCCGTCATATAAGTTTTCGAAAAACTTTGAATAATTCATCGGAACGAGGAGGAGAAACGCCCAGAAGAATCGGCGCTAAAAAAAAAAAAAAATAAAAAGAACCAAGCGCAAGAAATGCTTAGAACAAGAGTTGCCTTAACAATAGAACTTCCTTGTTGACTTACATATACATATATACAAATACATATACAGTGTACATACATATATACAAGAATATTATATACAATATTATATAAAAAAAGGAGAGAAAGAAAGAAAACCAAAAAAAAGGGAGTATAAAATAGATATATTTTTTATACGATCGGAAAAACGTGGGAAAACTTGGTAACTTCAAATCGAAAATGCGCCTAAAAGAGACAACAAAAAAACAAACGGCGTTACCAGCGAAAGCAACAACAACATTACCAACAACAGCAACAACAGTCAACAGTCAAAAGATATTGCCGCTGTCGGGCGATCTGCTTAGTACGCTGCACATATCGACGCCGCATCATCACCATCAGTTGCAGCTGCAACATCCGTTGCAACACCATCATCAGCTGCAGCAACAACACCAGCAGCAGCAGCACCAGCAGCAGCAGCAACATCAGCAACTGCAACTGCAGCTGCAGCAGCAGCAGCGCTGCTCGAGCGTCGGCAGCACCAGCAGCAGCGGCACCTGCGAAACGGACCGCTCCTCCTCCCACTCTGCCGCCCTTTCGCCCGCCTCCGGAATGGACGGACTGGGTCCTGGCTTGGGTCCTGCCGCCAGTGCTGCAACACCTTCTGCGGCCGGATCAATGGTGGGAGCTCCGAGCAACGATGATGCTGCCGCCGTGCTTGCCGCCAACATCGCCGAGTCGTTCACGTTCCTGCAACAGCATGCGGCACATCATTTTCGCGACATTTTGTATGCGGCCCACATGCTGGGAAGAGGTAAAGGCAACAAGGAGTCGCCACCACTGGTGGGTGGCACAAGGAGGAGGGAGGGTGGTGGAAGGAGAAGGGAAGGGGGAAGGGGGAGGGGGAGGAAAGAGGGGGCATGGCTGCCACGACCTGCTGCTGTGGGCAGCCGAAGCAGCAGCAACAGCAGCCGCAGCAAACTGGAGCCGCTCAACTGGTTTCGCTAGCTAGCTGTTTTTTTTTATTTTCAGTTTTATTTTTTTTTTCGTTTTTTTTTCGGCCAGGCCAACTTTCACTTTATGCATTGTTGCCGCACTTCACTTCAGATTGCCACTCGCCTTGCACTTGTTGCCCCGCGCAGTGGAAAGCTCCCCCGGTTTCCGGATCCTAGGGGCTTTTCTTTTCGGATTCCATAATGTCAAAGGGTTTTCTTGGGAGATCGTACATTAAGCGCTCTCAAAAATATGAAATATCCTTTTAAGAAAGTTACTCCCTTAAGTAACAGTACTTAAATTATTATTTAAATCTAGAGAAATTATTACTTTCCATTTATAGTATCTTACAACATTTGGCAATTTACATTTATTACATTTGTTTTGGATTACAATAAACCCTAACTATTTATATAGTCGTTTAGGGTTTTTATTTTTTCCTTTTTTAAATTATATCAACACTTAATGTAATAAGAGATTATCTGGTTTTTTTTACAAACCTAAAGGTTCTAAAATGTTCTAAAATATTATATTTATAAGGAAAATCCTTGAACCAAAATCTTTGGCAAAATCAAAAACCTTTGAAATCTTGCTTACCACGTTACCTTTAATCAAACTAATACAAAAGCATGACCTTCAACCCACAACTTCATCCATTCAAAATGAATATAAACTTAAGATTTATTAATAAATAATTTATTAATGATAAACTCTGTTTTTCATTGGTCTTTCAGGCTATTATCAGCCGGCTGGACCGCTGATCTCGCCGCATGTGATCGCCGCCCCGCCGCCGCCGCCGCCACCATCCGTTGCGCAGGTGAAGAAGCTGCAGGAGGAGGACGGTGCCACGCCCACCACTGCCGTCGGTTCGCCGACGCAGCAGTTGCAGCAACACCAGGCGGCCGTCGCTGCCGAGGCAGCCGCAGCAGCAGCAGCAGCAGCAGCGGCAGCAGCAGCGGCTGAGCATTCGCACGCGCACGTCGTCCACGGCCACAATCCGCAGCAGCAGCAACAGCAGCAGCAGGGGCAACATCCGCAGCCGGGGCAGCAGGGGCAACCTCAACCGTATCCGGCCAGCGCCGTGGCGGCAGCAGCAGCGGCAGCAGCCGCCCACCAGGGGGCGTGCCCTATTCGCGGTCGATGCACGCGGCCCAGATGCACTACTCGACGGCCTATCCGCCCAACTACTACGCTCCGTATCCGGGCGATGTCATGTGCTACTCGCCGCCCACCTACCAGCCAGCGTACTTCTCCAGCAAAGTTTACCAGCCGCCGTCGCATCCCGGCCATCCGGCCGCCCATCCGCAGGCCGTCGGACATCCGCCGCCACCGCCGCCGCCGGGCGCCTATCGCCGTTATCCGTACTATCAGCACGGCGGTCCGCCGCCGCCGCCGCACGAGCTCTACGAACAGCAGCCGCCGCCGCCGCCGCCGCCCGTCTCTGCAGCGGGATCAGGAGTATCTGGAGCCGCAGCACAGCAGCAGCCTTCAGCAGGAAGCTCAGCGGGAGCGGGAGGAGCAGGAGGAGGGGGAGCAGGAGCGGGTGGAGCACCCGCTGGCAGCCAGTTGGTGCCGGCGCATCAGCAGCACCAGCAGCAGCAACAGCAGCAGCAGCACCTCGAGCACTATCCCGGACCGCCGAGCTACTACGCCGGCTACAGTCCCGGCGGAGCGGCTTCGTCCGGCCAGTGCTACCCGCGCGGACTGCAGGGACCGTATATGGGTAAGGAAAAGTATGGTCCAGTCCCGGATGCATTCACACCCGCCGCCTCCAAGGGGGCTGCCAACTGTTTTCAAAAGCAACTATCTTAGTTCAAGATATAGAAACCACTTTAGGTTGTTCGATTATAAAAGTAAAGGATATTCATTATATCTAGATTTTCAAAGAGTTTATAGATTTTAAAGTAAATAATGGTTATGATATCTAGATTGTCAAATACTTGACATGGTTTTAGAAAAGTTCAATAATCAAGTGCTGTTTTAAAATTCCAATTCCAACTCTTTCTTGGTTTTCTTAAGTTGATTAAATTCATAAATGGCAGAGAAAATGTAGAAGGGTTTTTAGATTTTCATAGTATTTAACTATTTTATTAGTCACCTGTTTTAATTGAAAGTTGGCAGCACCTCTTGCTTAACCTTTGCACCTACTAACTCTCGATTGTGCTCGATCCTTGCAGAGTATCCGCCGCAGTGTCCCTGCCCAATGCCTCAATCGTGTCCAAAAAACGTCCATACTGGGCCTCATATTGGTAGCAACATCCTCAGCAACATCGACCAGAGCAGCAGCAAGAACAGCAGCAACTGCAGCAGCAACAGTGGCAACAGCAGCAGCAGCAATATGTTGCTGAGTGCCACGAGCAGCAGCAGCGACAGCAGCAACTGCAACAGCAGCACTTTGACTGCCTGCAGCAGCGTTGCAACAACAACAACAGCAACGACAACGACGACGACGGCAGCGTCAACGTTGACTACCAGTAGAGGCCCAGTGAAAAATGTGACCGAACCGAACGAGAGCAACAGCAACAGCAGCAGCAAGACCACCAGCAACACCAATAATAGTTGCAACATTAGCAACAGCAGCAGCCAAACAACGGAGACAATTTCGCGTGCAACGGCAGCCACGAATACAACGAACACGACGGCAACCACGGCCACCACGGGCACCCAGTGCCAGATGCTCGTGAAGACGGAGGAGCTGAAGGGGGAGAACCGGCCGGTGACCAAGATGCAGTACGAGGCGCACGTGATGCCGCCGCCAACGCCGCCGGAGAGCTACTGCGCCAGCGATGAGAAGCTCCTCCTCGACGAGGAGCAGGAGCAGCAGGAGGCCGAACTGGAGCTCCGCCTCCGATTGGGCTTGCAGCTGGAGAAGCAGCAGCAGCACCACCACCACCAGCACCACCATCAGCACCACCAACAGCACATCGAGGCCTACGATCTCACCTGCAGCACACCGCCTCCGATTTCGGCGCCACAGGCAACAGCAGTTGTGCCGCGAAAGGCGAGAATCGGGAAGAGCATGGCCAGGGAAATGGTCTATGCTGCCCAACAGCAGCAGCAGCAGCCGGAGAAGCAGCCGGAGAAGCAGCACTTGGAGGAGAAGCAGCACCTGCAGGAGAAGCAGCTGCAGCTGCTCGACGAGGAGGAGCCAAAGGTGGCTGCGGCCAAATTGGAAGCACACCGGGAACAACCAGAGATGCCTTTCGTACTTAAAGCGGAAATCAAAGCAGAGACCAAAATCAAAATCGAACACGACGGGGAGGTGACTGGAGGCACTGCACCACATATCAGCCAATTGTTGGACCTCAAGCCCACCATCAAAACGGAGCCCGAACCCGAAATCGAACCAGAACCCGAACCAGAATCGAATCTGGAAAGGGAAGCGGCACCGATAGCACCTGTGGCCAAAACCGAACCGCAGCAGGAACCAAATGAGCTGGAAAAACCGGGCGGCAGCAAGCAGCGCATCAATTTGCTTGCCTCTTCGAGTGGCAGCAAGAAAACGAAGACGAAGCACAGCTACAAGAGTCTGATCAGGCAGGCGGAGCCCAAGAACTATCTGTGTCCCGGTCGTCGGTTTGTGCGTCGACATGGTCGTGCTCCGGCGAAGTACGCCAAGCGGCGACAGATGATCCTCACGCAGCGGCAGCAGCAGCGAATGCGCCTGCAGTTGCAGCAGCGAAAGCAGCAACGCAAAGCGGCAGCAGCGGCGGCAGCAGCAGCTGCAGCAACCGAAGCTGCCACTTCTGCGGCGAGTGCCGCTCCCATGGAGGTGGGCACGGATATCCAGGAGCAGATCAGCAGTGCCGCCACGCCGAGTGCTTCGCCGAAGAGAGCGCGTCCGCGAAAGCAAGAGATTGCCGCACTGCATCTGCTCGAGGGTTGTGATACCTCGATGACCCGCGGTTACTTCAGTGATCCCGAACTGAATCACAGCAGTCGCAAGCAGGCGCCTGCCACGGTGGGTGGACTCTATGCGGCATCCTCACCGCTGACACAGGCAACCGCCAAGCAGCCGGTGGCCGGAAAGCGTTCCAAATCGGAAACGAAGAAGCCACCGGCGGAAGTGGAGAGCCCGCTGCCCTGCAAGAAGCCACGCAAACAGGCGACTGCTGCTGCAGCGGGAAAAGCGAAAGCCAAGGGCAAGAAATCCACGGGAGGAGGAGCGGCAGCTGCAGCAGGGGAGGAAACCAACCAGCGGGATTCGGCGGCACTGGGAGCACCATCGGCCAACCAGGAAACCAACAACAATGAGTATCAAACAGCTGACTTGCAGGCTCAAAAGTTCACCGAAGCAGCAGCTGCAGCAGCAGTGGCAAGTGCAACTGCCACGGCAACATCCCCTCAGCAAGAGCAACAGCAACAGCAACATTCCGATGAGCAACATCAGTTCCTGGTGCCCATTGCTATGACCACGAATCCTGCGAATCCCAACCAGCGTCAAAATCCAACAACAACAACGACGACGACGACGACGACGACGACGCACACGAAACGCGCTCGATCGCGTGGCAAGTTTGGGAATCGCAAGCGGCAGAGGCAGCGACCAGGCGGCGTTAGCAACGAACTGGATGTCACCCAACCGCCGGCGACCAAGGCGAATGTGGTGCCCAAGTGGAACAACGGTTGGATGTGGGCGGGCCAGGCCTTCCAGGGTGCCGTCTTTCTCAATGTGAGTGAACCATAATTTTTATAAAATAATTAAATACTTACTTTAATTGCATCTTCATTTGATAGAGCGATGATCCCTTGGTGTTGCGCACTTGCTATCCTGCCATGCGGCATGTCGAAGGCGATATCATTCGCATCCGGGACTGTGTGCTGCTGAAGGCCAACGAGGACAACGAGCTGCCCTACGTGGCCAAGGTGGCGCATCTCTGGCAGAATCCAGAAGATGGTAAATATAGAGTTTAAGGAAACTTACACGATTTCTACCTTGAATTTACTCATTGAATTTGCTTGTATTCGAATCTATTGACTCTATTCACCCATTGAATAACTAATTTAATACACTTGCTGTACAGGTGAGATGATGATGTCGCTTCTGTGGTACTATCGACCGGAGCACACCGACCAGGGCAGGCAGCGCAACGATTGCCCGGATGAAGTGTACGCCTCGCGGCATCGCGATCACAATTCGGTGGCCTGCGTGGAGGATAAATGCTATGTGCTCACCTTCAGCGAATATTGCAGGTTGGTAAATTGATTCCCCTCGATTGTATTCGTATTAACATTTAATTGAATACACAAACAGGTATCGTCGTCGCCTGCGTGCCGCCGAAGAGGATGTGGAGGATATAAGCATTGTGCCAAGGCGGCCAATAAGTGCCAGTGGTTCCAGCTGCCATCCGGTGCGTACGGTGCCGGAGCACACGAATCCGGAGCTGGTGATGTTCTGCCGACGAGCCTACGAGTTCCGGACGCGACGCCTGCTCAAGTTGCCCCAGAAGAACGGACTGGTGTGCAACTCCAGCTAGCGCAAGGCATCCTGAGCCATCCCGCATAGTAGTAGTCCACTGTTAATCCAGCGGGTGTAGGAATCGAGTGTAGGAAACATTAGCTTAAATTCGGTGGAGCGACGAGGGGGCGACTCCTGGATGGGAATGGAATGGAATGGACGAAGTGCCCTGGCAGAGGATAAGGAAGGCGTAGAGAGAACGTTACATTGTTTTGATCAGTCTACAGTATTGTTAAAGATATCTTTTTGTCTTTGTTGTTGAGCGATAACTGCAAGTGGTGAAAATCTGAATTTTCGGCTGCGATCGTTGTTCCTAACCAAAATTTCGATGGCGACCGTCGTTCGATGTTCCCAAACAAAAAACAAACAAACAAACACACACATAAACACTCGTTACCTCTGTTGGGGCAGGAAAAGAAGAAGAAGAAGGACACACACACACACAGGACACATGGCTACACCCAGAAAATAAAACAAACAAAAAAAAAAACACACACACACCAGACCAAATTGTAGGCGAAAGCTTTTCACTTAGATGCGAGAATTTTGAGAGATTTGAACAGAAGGGAGAAAGGAGAAATGTAGGAAAGCAACTGCTAGGAGAAAGCATTAAATACTTTAAATTGTATTACATAATTTATTTATTCCCCCCCACACACACACACAAAAAAGAAACAAACCACACACATGGATATTTTTGTTATTAAGTTGTATGTATTTATTATCATTAATATCGAGTTAGTCAACATTCTGTGTACAGTTTTCCGTTCGTAATTCGAAGTATTTCATGGAACCGCTCAACAAAAACAAAAAAGTGTTATGTTCTTAAGTTTTTCCTAACTGTTTCACAGTAGTTAAAAAACAAGTGTAAAAGTGTTTCTAAACTAGGTGCGATTTTATCTCCTCTTTTTTTTGTTAATTGGATAAAAATAAGAAAACCTATTGATGTATTTTTTTTTTTTTTTAAAGTAATACGAATAAGATATTAGTTAGATTTTGAAACCTTAAAAAAAATCCTTGTCGCCAAATTAAGTCTAACGACTTTAAAATCTAATGAGTTCCATAAAAAAGAAATCAGATGGGAAAACTACATTTTTTTTGGCGCCTTTCTCGTTTCACTTATACTCAAAATTGTAAATGTCCTATCTCCATTTAGTCTATAAATCCAGATGTATGTAAGACCTTAAACCTATTGATGCTCAGGCAAAAAGAAGAAGTTTGCGCACAGACAGACCAACTTTATAATCTATAATTATTAACTTCTCGATTTGAGATTTCTGGCTCCAGGAGCGGAAAACTGGAAGACTTGACATCGATTTTTGCTAGGCGCTGTTGGTATATTTTTTTAGTTGTTGTTAGTTTTTGTAAGCGAAGGAAAAAAACAAGCATTGTGTACTATTTAATTTGACAATTATTTTTTGTTTTCGTTTTTAGTTTTGGAAATTTGATTTCAGAGATATTATTTTCTGTTTACCTTTTTGTTTAGCTGCAAAACAGTTAGAAAGAATCTTAAAAGAAAGAACAACAACAAGTCACATTATTATATTATATATAAACTTATATATATATATATATACGTAGTTCTATATAAACAAATATCCTTATCCTTAAAAGTAAATTTTTTTTTAAATCTTAATTTAATTTAGTTTTAGTGTTTTTAGTTAGTAAGTTGATATTGCTAATAGTTTGTTTTATACCAAATACAAAAAAAAAACATTAGGCGATTCTAAGAAACCTATTTATGCACACCCAAACACACATACATCTATGCACAAGTGTATAGTCTTAAAAAATATATATCCATATATATATTTGAATTATATGTATTATTTTTTAAACCAATCAACTGTTTTCCTAATTTTTTGGTTAATGTGACTTCGACTTTTGGGGCCTACTTTCGGGCGGAAAACGGATATATATTCTCCAGATCGGCCAGATGCGTGGCGAGGGCGGTTAGGTGTAGGCTAGTAGGCGTGGCAATCTGTAGAGCTATATGGATAATGCAACGTAGGACATTGAGAATGCTGTCGCGCTTTGGGAATAGAATGTGCAAAAGATAGAAATCGTATATAAATACACAAATATCTAGGGAGCATAGCCAGACATATGATACAAGTATACAACAACAACAACAACAACACACCTACACACAAACACACACACACAATGAACGATCCATTAAGACATATGTATACCTAGAGAAGCAGGACGACGAATGAATTCAATTAGTGAAAATCAACAAGCAACCACAAATTGTAGCCTAAATTACCAAAAAAAAAAAAACAAAAAGCGAAACCAACAAACAAACATTATATTTGTATGCCATATATATATACACACGATACATATACATACACATATACATATATATATATATATAGATATCTCTCTATATATATATTATGAAGCCTTGTTCCTGCTGGGCCAATACAAGGACACATATATATATTTCTATAGGCAAATTGAAGGAACCACAGGAATCAACCACAACCGAAAGCAATTGAAGCCCGTTTGTATTATAAATGGGGAGACGTCCAAGGTTTTGGCGTTATTCACAGCAGATTACAGTCAACCCACACTAACAGAAACATACACACACACAAACACAATAACACTGATGCCTCTGAATACAAGTTTAAAGATTAACATGTTTTTTCGCTGGTTTCTGTTGGATTAAGGATAATGTGGAAGATCCCATTGTATTTTGTAGAGAAATCTAACACTGAAAAAAAAAACCAAAAAAAAAGTAAAACGTTTTTCGAAGATCAGTTCATTCCAATCTTGTCCTTCGGCATGATAATTTCCATATACATAGTTGTTAGTTACGGTCTGACCTTTTTCTTCAACATTTGCTTTAAGAAATACATTTTTAACAAATTATGAAACCAAAAAAATCCACAACACAAGAAAATACGAAATGAACTTAAAACAGAGCAAGAACAAAATAAATAAGAACAACAAACAAAATAAAAAACAGGAAGAGCAAGAACAAAAAAAAAAAACAAGATCAATAAAACAAATCCAATATAATTATTGTTTATTACTAGACTAATAAATGTATTTTTTGGCAGATTAAAAAGAATTTCTTCAATTGGTTTTGGGTTCTCCTTAGGGGAATTACTATTTTACAAATAGTTTCTATTTAAATAGCACTTAAGTTCGGGGAAATACTTCCACATATTTTTAAAGGTTTGTTTTTTTTGGGGGGATTGTAAGATAATCATCGCCGGCACGTAAAACCGAGAACTAAAATCAAAAGTAAACTGAGGTTGACATTGACTCAAGTAGCCGACAAAAAGGCCAACAATTAAGTTAATCGTTGGGTAATTTGTACCCTCGTCTATGGAAGAAAGTCAGATCCAACATGTATGTAAGTACTTATGTATCTGCTAATTAGTATTTGCAAGCGAACATATTTATTCTGCTTATCTGCGTAACTTTGGGGTGTCGATGAGCTCATCAGCCCTGTGACTCAGTTTTTTTTGGCCCAGAATTGTTTTATCCGCAGGTGTCGACCCTCCGATTCCATGCATGTTTACTGTCTTTTGTTATTGTTTTCGTTTCGATTTCGTTTTGGGTTTTTTTTTTGTTTTTGTTTTCTGGGGGTACTAATTACATGGGCGTTGCGCCTCTCAAGATATGTGTATCATTTGTGTGGGCGTGACCCAAGAAGATGACGTACACGATCTGCTAATTCAACTGGTTAGTCACTCAAACTGCGCAGCTGCGTGTGAAAAAATAACGAGCTTAATGCACAAAATTATTTATAAACTTTGGAGAGGAACGATTTGACTAGATAGATTTGTTAGGTGTGCAAAAAAAAATCTGAGTTATTCAAAAGTACATAGCTTAGAATCTTCCTAACAATTTGATCCAAGATTGCTCTTTACTCGACACAACAACGAAAATAAAATGGAACATAAACTAATGCTGCAGCTGGTTATGTTAGATATTTAAATAACAAATGCCTAGAGGTACGCCACTTTTAAATCGGATAAAAATTAAAAAAGTTATTGATTTAAAAGTCACTTTTCTGCAAAACGGTTTTTTGCAAATTTTGAAAGGTCGGGGGTCATAAAAAATATCAAAACCCGGACTAAAAAACTAAAGCTTTTTTCAAAGTTCAACAACAAAACTCCGATTTATATGTAACTGCTCTCAAACTGGAAAGATATTCGCTATGCCTAAAAATCAAGAACAACAAACCGTTTTTATTAACCTTTAGTTTTTTTTTATTAAATCAAAGATGCACATATTTATCGAATTTACATAAATTATGCTTAGAAACTAGGTAAAAAAAAAAACGATGCACACAATAAAGGGTTCCCGCGCTGGAACCGCATTAGAGTCTCATTCTAGCTGCCAATGCCAAACCAATTACCAAGGCCAAAGCCGCGTTAACTGAATTGGTAGCGATTGCTGCTGAGTTGCGATATCCATAGGAACCCGGGTAATTGGGATCCGGTCGCACTCCCATGTATCCCGGCTGTCCGGGTTGATTGCCGTAGGAGAAGGGCCTTCCGTGCTCATCCGTTCCACTCACGTAGTACGCTCCATTGCCCCCCGCTCCTCCATAAGGTCCTCGTGAATCGATCCCGGCGTATCCGTAGCTGTACTGCGGATCCTGGCCACTCAAGCTGCCCGGCGGATGCATTCCGCCGGATTGGGAATTCGACCAGGCGCCCACGCCAGCCGCGTTTCCATTGTTCCAGTGAACCGTTCCCGCTTGGGCATCCACTAAAAATTAATAAATACAGACGTGTAAGTGAAAAATCTCTATCAAGATCAGTAATTGATAGCTTAGTTACAAAGTCTGTTAGTTAGTTAAAAGATTTTCTGGTTTTAAACAGCTTTAATTGCGAGAAGTTGAACTTATGTAAGTAGAACTTCATCTGAAATCATGTGTTTGTTTTTATTGAACTTAAAGATTTTTAATACTTTTTTTGTGCATTATTTTCTTTACTATCTATTCAATTAAAAATTTCACTTTTAAACTTAAAAAAAAATTATTTTTGGGTATAGCGTTTTTGGCTATGTTTTTTTTTTTTTTTAAGTGAAAACAGATATCCAGCTTTCTTATACATATTTATTAGAATTTGTTATTCGTTTGTTGTTGCTCGTTCTCGGTGCTCGAAGATTTTCAGATTCGCAGTTTATTGTGATGTGTATTCGTTTGTATTTTTTATTTTTTCCAGTTTTTTTTCCTTTTGTTATAGATTTTCCCAGCTTTTCCGCTAGGTACTATATTTCCCGTAACTCACCCGCTCTAAGTTCGAAAAGAGCCAGGCAAATCACTAGGCTGCCACTCAAAATGCGGTTTAAATTCGACATGTTTACCGATCGCGCGCTTAACTCAAACTAAACCGCTGACGAAGTGCCGGCGACGGTTTTAAACTCGTTTCCCAGGCTTGGCTCTCGAAAAATAGCAACGATCGCTGTTTGCTGTTGCGAGTCATCATCATTTTGTTATTGTTATTGTTGTTGCTGTTTATTTTAAGTGTTTTCCACTCAATTTGCGGGGGGTTGGAAGTAAATTTACCAGGGAACGATCGAACTAATGAAGATAGGAACTTTTGCATAACGAAAACTGAAGTCGTTGAAAAATCCTCTAATCTTTTATATATAGTTCTGAATATATTACCTGTATTTGTTTTAAATAGCATAAGAATTTTATCAAACACTTCAGTTTTATACGTTATTTATTTAGATTTTTTAAAGGGGATTAAAAGTTCGACGTAGGCTTTAAATTAGTTCAATTTCAAATTCAAATTCAAATTCAAATCACGCAATGTGATGTGGAAGCAGTTAAAATGTTTTGCCGACGTGCGAATCTTATAGTGTCTATTTCGTGTTATTTTTTTTTAATTCCTTGTAGAACACGTTAATTTGTTGGGTCATCAATAATATGCAGAATAGGGGCCAAGGTTAAGGGGGGTTAAGCGGGGCTTTTTTCCTCAATGTTGATTTGCCCTGGAGGAAAATACAGAGTCAGTTTGCTTTGAAGATCGCCCGAATTGCATTCAGCCGGTTAATCTTCTCTCTGGGTTACATTTTTTCGTATTTGCATTTTTTGTTTTCCAACCATTTCACACCTTTCCGGATGAGAAGGGGCAAGGTGGCAGGGGGCAAGTACACAATGCCGCACGTTGTTACGATTTGCCGGGCCGATAGGAAACGAGAAGCTCAAACTCAACACAATTCAAAGGGCCATTGAAAATTATTCACTTTCTCGCTTCTGACGTTGGGCAAATTTAGGTCGGCCGATATGCCAGTACATATTACATATTTATTTGATTTTTTTCAGTCGGGAGAAGCGAAGATAGTAAACGTGAATAGTGAGTTTTACCGTTCGACTGATAAGTTCATTGAAGACTTTTTGTATTTGTTATGCAAAGTTTGTTTTGCCATTTTTATGCATATTTTTAAATAGCAAGGAGAGGCAAATATTTGTATTATTAAAAATATTTATCAAAAAATAAATCTCAATTTAAAATATTTCATTTAAATGTTGATGAAATAAATAGCTCTTATGAAATAATGTTCATATTAATACTTTATACTTTCTGAAAATAACATTTTTGCTATCTTCTTTTCATTTTTTACATCCTGGCGCGATAAAAAAATAATCATTGTAAGCTCTGTTTCCTTCGATGCTTTGATTTTAATCGATAGGCAATGAAGCAGTGCATCGATGGTGCGAGCGTTGCCACCCGGCAAACGAGTCCTGCGCACGGAAGAAAATTCTCTGGCGGAGGGTTCGAATCTCGCTCTCTGTTTGTGTGCGTTTTGCTCAGTTACTACGTTTGTGTTATGGTTTTCGCAGTTTCGGGGGAGTCCAACCACCCGCCGCCCCAGCAGCTCGGGAAAATGGAGAGGAAAAGCTAGTTCGACTGCGATTGCCGCTGCTGCTGGCTCGTGTTGGCCTTGTTGCTGGATACTTTTGACCAGTTTAGTGGCTCAGAGCGGTCTGTTTGCTCGCGAGCAAGATGCTTAATAATCGAGTCTCCAATTAAAAACGGTTTGCTTAGGCCAAAAAGCAGCCATCGACAATAGTTTGCGTGAAGTGAACAGCAAAGGAAAAAGGAGCGGAAAATCGCGGAAAAGGGTGGTGAAAAGCGAGCGTAGGGTGCTGGAAAAATTGCATTGCCTTCTTTCGGCCGCATAAAAAAAATGAGCGCAAAGGTAGGCCATTCGCGCTCTCTCCCTCTCTATCTTCCTCTCTTTGCGAATGTGTGTGTGTGTGTGTGAGAGAGAAAGTTTGGTAGTGTGTGTGTGTGATATCAGAATTACTGCGTGCCAGCAAACCATTTCCCCTCTCTCTCTTTTCCATCAAACTCCTAGTTTGTAATTGCGTTTGCAATTGAATAAATGCACTCCTGCCACGCCTCCGAAATCTCCTCCTCCCCTCACACACACATACACACAAAAATACACACACTTAAACATGCGATTTTATGGCCATTGGTATAGAGAAATGGCAAAAACTGCACTATAAATTCAGCAGGGTTTCCCATTTAAGATTTATTTCCACCATATGGCATACAATAACGGAAAATCGAGAAGGGAAATGGCATTCCTGCAGATAATGGCGTATTGAGGGGACTCATCCCGCCAGATTTTCCACTCCATGCAATTTAAGTCGAGTCCCATTGCGACGATTCGCAGGACTCTCGAGGGTGCTCATCTGTTGCCTGGCAAAAGGGACACACAATCCGTTTACTGACTTCGCTTCTTGACTTTAAACACTTTTGCAATTTTGCTAAAAATATTTTAAGGTTTTATTGAAAATGAAAATTATAAATAATTCAACTACAAATATTCTTGAAAATCTTAAAAAGTTTTTTACTGCATAGATAATCACATTATAATAAAAAAATTCATATTTACTAGCTAATTAAATTATGAATTGCAAATCGAGCTTTGCCAAGTTATACACTTCAATAATTTTGTTTCGATTATTGCTCCTTTTTTTCAATATCCCCGCGAAGTGTATAATATCATGTATTGAATATCATTCCTGTTGATTTTCCCCAATTTCCCCTTAACTTCGCCCCATTTTCTTACAAATACATTAGCCAATTTGATTGGCTTTTTGGCTGGAAGCCTGAAAAAAAGGAGTGCTCGTTAGGCATTCTGCCATTTAATGCCTGTTTACATTCAACAGTCTGCTAAATGTAAATGTTTACATTTTATTCACAACACTGTGCCAAAATTAGCCATCGTTTTTCTTTTGTGCCAGCCTGCATGCAGTTTTTGATCGAGTGCCATGTTTTTCCATTCATAAAATTTTCATTATTTAGCATTTTAACTGTATACAAAATATTGTAAACATGCAAGCTGAGATGTCATTGTTTACAAACGCGAATTCTTCTTTTCGGGCAATATATACATACTATATATGTATCTGTATATATGTATCTATTTATAAATGGTCGGTTTGCCGTATGCTTGAAAGCTCTCACAACAAATTTTCGTGCCAGTGCCTTTTCAGTTGCGAAGTGCTGAACATCGCGACGCGTTCTGTTATCATATCGTAATATCTCGGGAAAAGCGAATAAAAACATTGACAAACAAACGAAAGTACAATAAAATAATGTTTAGATTGCCAAAAATGTGGTTGACCGACTGCTCTTCGGTACACTTTATCTACTTATCTATATATATATAATTAAGATTATTTTTCGAGTCTAATTTTGCCGGGCTTAACCCTTCAATGGACTTGGAGTATTTTAATAACTAAGTGTAACAGTTAAACGAAGTGTTATCAAACATTAATAATAAATCAATGACGTCACTAGATTATTAGCAAGCGAACTTCCCTTTAATTACAACTGCTTTTATCGCGGTCACAGTGTTAAATAAAAAAAGAACTTTATTCCATAATCAATCCAATCTTCAGTGGAAGCATAAACAATTTCCGAAACGATTATAAACAAAGGAATATAAACAAATATCTTAAGAAAACGCCGGCTTATCTGAGATAAAATGTATGCTGACACAGGGGTTAAGAGCTTTGGGCGCCAATGAAAACTGGGAAACGGGCGGGGGAAATGCGGGGGAGGAAAATAAAGCAAAACAATCGCAGACACATGCCACTCGCGAAAAAGCTCTCCAAAATTCACAGACGCTCTGTATTATTCCCTGGAAGCAAGCGCGTTAAATAATAAAAGAAACCCGCATATTTCTTTGGATTTTCTTTATCAATTTGAATATCTGATATACTCAAAACCGAAATTACTTTTAGATGACCCGCTATAAGCAAACCGAATTTACGGAAGACGATTCAAGTTCAATCGGCGGTATTCAGTTGAACGAGGCGACCGGACATACTGGCCTTCAAATACGCTACCACACAGCACGGGTGGGTAAAAAATTAATATATACTCTATATATAAAATATGTCACTATATACATTTGGATTATTTACACATTGTTGAAAACTAGATTTGTTCCCGATTAAAGCTATTAGAATTATTGTAAGCAAGTTCTGTACGATATAGTAAACCTAATTTTACTATTTTATTTCATTACTTTAAATCGTTCAAAATTACTCTAAGTTTATTTTCAGTTATTATTTCAATATTACGTTGTAAGCTTCCAACTGAAATTAAAATACGCTAAGTAAGCGTATTATTTCTCTCCATAACTCTGGGTTAACCTACACAGATCTGTAATTTAGATACAGGCATAGCAATTCAAAGACGATCCTCATCTTTGTGGCCGTGACTCAGAAAAGAGCCAATTGAGGCCAACGAAAACGCTTTTCACATTTGTTTGTTTGGGTTATACTCCATCTGACAGTGAAAAGCATGCATATATATAAGTAGCATTTGTATATTGTGCGGGTACCCTTATTAACGTTACGTTGACTTTGAGAGACAATTGGCTCTTCAGTTCTATTGTAACATATTATATTTTTATTTGTTGCTGAAAAGTTCTGTTCAAGTTTTATATTTTTATGAAGTAGTGAAAAAACTTGTAATTTATTTATATGTATCTATTGTTGTCATCATTTTACTATTTATTTTCTAAGAAGACTGTATTGAAGTGTCGTACGTATTCGATTTCGAAAAATAGTGTGTATGATATACATAAACACATTCACAATTAACGAAATTATTGTGCGCACTTGAAAATTGAAACAAATGAATAGGGAAAAAACAATACAAATGTAATGTAAGCAAATACATAAATTCTGTCGCAAAATCTTTAAACCCTTCGATTGATCTAATGTGCAAGTTATGCCAACAAGTTTGAACTCATTTGAACCGCTTTCGTCTTGCTTTCCAATTGAAAGAAAAAATTTATTGGATGCGCGCTTCTTTTATGATGGGGTGATGTATATTAATTTACTTTTTGCAATGTTATAGGCCACTTGGAATTGGCGATCGAGAAACAAAACGGAGAAATGGCTGCTCATCACCACTTTTGTAATGGCCATCATTATCTTCACGCTTTTGATCGTCCTTTTTACAGACGGGGGCAGCAGCGATGCCACCAAGCATGTCCTGCATGTCCAGCCGCACCAAAAGGGTACAGTTTTCACTCGATTAAATGGTTAGAAGAATACCTAGTTAATTTATTATGCATTTTTGGTTACAGAGTGTCCTTCGGGAAACGAGCTTCCCTGTTTGAACAAGCACTGCATTTTCGCCTCGAGCGAAATCCTCAAATCCATCGACGTTACAGTGGATCCCTGCGATGATTTCTACGGATATTCTTGGTGAGTTACCTACCCATAAATATATGGTTCAAATACGATTCAAGGATACAGCATAGGTATATCCATTTTAATGATTTTTGGTTGGAAATGTTCTTTATCAAATATATATTTCCTCTTTTTTTATTTTTACATTGTTAAAAATATATTATTGCTTGGTATATAAAGCTTTATTCTTCATTACAGTAATCAGTGGATAAAGAACAACCCCATTCCCGAGGGCAAGTCGACGTGGGGCACTTTTGGGAAGCTGGAGCAGATGAACCAATTGGTCATTCGCAATGTTTTGGAGAAGCCAGCGAAGAGTTTCAAGTCGGATGCCGAGCGGAAGGCGAAGATCTATTACGAATCCTGTCTGGATGCGGACGAGCACATGGAGAAGCTGGGGGCCAAGCCCATGAACGATCTGCTGCTCCAAATCGGAGGATGGAATGTCACCAAAAGTGGCTACAACGTCACCAACTGGACAATGGGCCATACTCTCAAAATACTGCACAATAAGTGAGACTTATTAAATGATTAATTAAGATGGGAAAATCCTAAAGAATGAAAGATATTTGATAAAATAGTTATAGCATATTTGCTATATAAATTTTTATTTGTGGCCAGCAGAAACCCTTTTAATTTATTTTATTTTGTTCTTAGAATTTATCCCATGATAGATTTTCCTTGCAGAGCTTTTTAATAATTCTTTATTTTTGTTTTTAGATACAACTTCAACTGCCTGTTTGGCTGGGCGATCGGGGAGGACGACAAGAACTCCTCGCGCCATGTCATCCAGATCGACCAGGGTGGCTTGACCTTGCCCACCGCCGATTACTACAACAACAAGACGGACAACCACCGCAAAGTACTCAATGAGTACATCGAGTACATGACCAAGGTGTGCGTTCTCCTCGGCGCCAACGAATCGGATGCCCGAGCCCAAATGATCGGCGTGATCAACTTCGAGAAGAAGCTGGCGAACATCACCATTCCTCTGGAGGATCGTCGCAATGAGGAGGCCATGTACCATCCCATGCAGCTCCGCCAACTGGCCAAGTTGGCGCCCTTCCTCAATTGGACGGACCACTTCGACAACGCCATGCAGATGGTCAACCGAAGGGTCACCGACGACGAGGTGGTGGTGGTCTATGCCCCAGACTTCCTGAAGAACCTCTCTGACATCATACTCAAAATGGAGAAGACCGAGGAGGGCAAAATGTGAGTAGAGTTCACTAATATGAGCTTTGTAATATCAATGAACAATAATCAATAAGGGCAAGTAAGTTTGCTATAATCACTTATGAAATGTATAATGGCTTGGCTCTTAATTAATAAATTGGTCACGTTTAAAATCAGTTATTATATAGATACGCCACCTTAATACCCCAACCTTAATTGACATTAAAAATATAATTGATACGATTACTGTTGTACAATTCATTGAACATTTCTTTTCTATTTTTTTTAGAACTACATGCTTCATTTAATGTATGAAACACATTTCATTGCCATCATTAACATCTTAAATATATTTAAAGTAAAGGTTTACTATCTCAAATATATAAATCAATATTTAAATAACATTGAACTCAATTAACAAAAAATTTATTATTTGATGGCTACGGTTGCTCCTTCTTTACATTAATTTATTATTATTAAATTGATTAATTCTCATGCACTTATTCTTTTTTCAGCATCCTAAACAACTATCTGGTGTGGCAGGCGGTTCGCACTCTGACCAGCTGTCTGTCCAAGCCATTCCGAGATGCCTACAAGGGAGTGAGGAAAGCCTTAATGGGATCCGACGGCGGCGAGGAGATTTGGCGGTACTGCGTTTCGGATACCAACAACGTGGTCGGATTCGCAGTGGGTGCGATTTTCGTGCGACAGGCTTTTCATGGGGAATCTAAGCCTGCGGCCGAGCAGATGATCAGTGAGATTCGCGAGGCCTTCAAGTTGAATCTCCAGAATCTCACCTGGGTGGACAAGCAGACGCGGGAGAAGGCCATCGAAAAAGCCAACGAAATCTCGGATATGATTGGTTTCCCCGATTACATTCTCGATCCCGTGGAGTTGGATAAGAAGTACGCCGAACTGAACATTACAGCAAATGCATATTTCGAGAACAACATTCAGGTGGCCATCTACAATTTGAAGAGCAATCTAAAGCGCCTCGATCAGCCGGTTAATAAGACCAACTGGGGCATGACCCCGCAAACAGTGAATGCCTACTATACGCCCACCAAAAACCAGATCGTATTCCCCGCCGGGATCCTGCAGACGCCCTTCTTCGATATCAACAACCCGAAGAGCTTGAACTTCGGGGCCATGGGCGTGGTCATGGGTCACGAGCTGACCCACGCCTTCGACGATCAGGGAAGGGAGTACGACAAGTTCGGCAACATCAATCGCTGGTGGGACTCAAAGAGCATCGAGCGGTTCAACGAGAAGTCCGAGTGCATCGCCCGCCAGTACAGTGGCTACAAAATGAACGGACGCACGCTCAACGGCAAGCAGACGCTGGGTGAGTGATCCTTAGAAATAACAAGGAAATAACAAAAATGAAGCAAAAAATAGAGCCGTAATTTAAAAAGTAACTTCTTGTTCGCCATTTATTGTTTGTTGTTTTTAATAGAATTCTTTAAATTTGATAATATGCTGATTTAAATATCTCAAAAAAAAAAAAAATTAAATTTATTTAAACTATTAACAAGACTAAAGCGTCATTACTCTTCATGTGTGTAAAAGTGCAACAGTGCGTATGAGCAATGCATATAAATTGCTCATACGCACTGTTGCCAATTCAACAGAATAAATGTTTACAGAAAATCTAAAAAATAATTATTTTTAGTAAGAATTGTCATTATAAGCTTGTGTTAATAGATTGTTATTAAATGTGGATTTCATTAGTTTATTTTAATCGAGTTAAAAATTATTAAATAATCTATATATATAAAAATGGAGACAAAATATGTGCGCAATCGCATCACATGAAAACGGCTTGACCGATTTGGCTGAAAATTGGTAGGGAGATAGCTTAGAACCAGAAGAAGGTTTAAGCATAAGAAAATTTTGGGAAAACCTTCTGGAAAAGTCGCTAGCGGCTCAACAGATGTACACAATGTTGTATGTAAAAAAAAGATCATAGCTGCGTTGATTTTGTGTATCGATGAAGTCGGTAAAAAAATATTTAAACAAAAAATAGAGCGAGCTTAAACAATTTGAAATAATGCCTGCTGTTAGACGAATAGGAATTGGACGTGCAACATTGACTATTATGTTGTTAAATTGTGTTGACCAGCGAAGCGGGCACAGGACCTCTAGTTATTTATAGAAATGATGATGGCCATAGAATATTACTTTTAACTCCTCTAAAATATATATTCTCAAACTGTTGAATTCCATTGATAACTAATGATTGTTTTTCATGCAACCAGGTGAAAATATAGCCGACAACGGGGGCTTGAAGGCGGCCTACCACGCCTACCAGCGGACCAAAAGCACCAGGGATGTGGATGTCCTCAAGCTGCCGGGTCTGAATCTCACCCACTCGCAGCTCTTCTTCGTGTCCTTTGCACAGGTAGGCACTTATTAATTTAAATATATAATTAATTTTATTAATAAGATGGTTGTGTTATAAGGTGTGGTGTTCCAGCACCACGGACGAGACGAACCTGCTGCAAATGGAGAAGGATCCACATTCGCCATCGCAATTCCGGGTGATCGGCACATTGTCGAACATGAAGGAATTCGCCGAGGTTTTCAATGCAAGCCCGGCAAGCGAATGAACCCCACCGAAAAGTGCGAGGTTTGGTAAACGCGATCTCAAGAAAAAGAAGCCAAAGATATAGCCAAAGTCGAGCAACTATAACTATGGAAGTAGCCCGTGAATCCGGGGAATTGTATTATTTTCTATGTTTTTTTGTTCTCCATTCCACTTGTGTTTGCCATTTGAATTTTATGTCGAAAGACCGTCAGTCATTGTGCCTATGAAAATGATAGAAGCTGACGATAAAATAATGTTCGTGCTCCAAAAAAACGGGGGTCTGGAGATCCTGGATCCTGGATCCTGGAGCAGGATCATCGGGGACCTTTAACTACATTTGAATGTGAACGCACGAGCTACCAACTAAATGAATGGGTTTTCGTGTGATCTGGATTCCAATAGCAAGTGGATCACACACCCAAACAATGGGGGCTGATATATATATAAATATATATAAATATATATATATATATATAGATATGATAACGATAACGATAACGATAAACGATAATTGTAACTTAGCTATTTGTAGAACTATCAATGTATATTGTATTATAATGATACAAAGTTCACAGCTCGTGGCCCAAAGAGAAACTAATTTAAAGGGTTTTTTTTCTGTGCCCGCTTTATATTTTTGTGTATGGTACATGTTAAACCAAAATCTCAAACTTTACTTTCCAAAGTTCCTGGTTGAAGGATAGGAATTACATACTTGAATTGTGTGGAAGGGAGATAGCTAGTGCGTGAGTGAAAGTGAGGGAGATAGAGTTACAGAGTGAGAGGCAAAGAGCAGAGGAAACTACCGAGTGATTAGGTTTAACACTTATTAAAAAAAGAAACACATTCGCTGCAACTTGATATGTATTATTTATCCTAAGTTTTATTGCTGATTTATTTACGACAAGAAAAAAAAAAGAGAAATAATTGGAGGCTGGAGTGTGAAAGAAGTGATTCTTATAAACACCATTAACTACTATTTGCTCAGATCTTGAGATTATATAGCCAATCAAATCGGACGCGTTTTCTTTTCCACGAAAGAAAAACATATCAGTCTAAGATGATGTTAACAAGAGCCAACACCAAAGAAGTAAATCTACGGAATTTAACTAGGCACAAATCGAAATCAATCCAAAGCTTAGCTGTAAGATACAAAAAATTAAAAGCAAACACAAGCACAAATCTCCAAACTAAGTAGACAATACGGCCAAACAATCGAATCTTAACTCAGTTATATGTTTTCCAATTCATCTGGTATTTTTACATACGAACAATGCATTTAAATTATTTTGATTCTTATTTTATTGGATCACTTAATTCTGAATGTAGGCGATATTTTAGTGGGGCGCGGTCACAGAACAAAAATTTGGGGGTTTTTTAAAAAGTCATTTTGTTGTTGTATTATACATGCATTTATTATTTTTCCCACTCATTTCATGGGAAGGGGGGGAAATTGTATGGGGATGTACTATTTTAAACCCCCCCTCCGGGTGGAAATATCAAGCAGATGATTTTTGTATTCTATATATGTATTATACGATAGACGAAGAATTGATAACTATAATACAAGTATGAAAAATATTATTATTATACAAACTACATATACATTAACTGAATGTTTAAATGCAAATTATTTTTATTGTCTATTAATAAAGTGTATATGTGCATGTATACATTTGCAAAAAAGGAAAAATAAATACCGCTATAGTCGAACGTCCCGACTATGGGATATCCACTACTCTGATTTATTACTCTATTTATTTGGTAAAAAAATATATCTACAATATATGAGGTAAGAGGGGCTATACTTTTAATTAAGGATGGCTTTTAGTTTATTATCCCTGCCGTAATAAATCATAAGCTCATCTGAAAATAACAAAAATGTAACAAATAACACTTTAAAGTTCAGTTTATATTAATTAGAAATGTGTACAAATATTTTCCTGAATTTTATTGTTTTTGTGCTGTGTGACACGTAATATTATTAAATATTTATTTCAAAATTGTTTTCAAACCCTTTGGGCAAAACTCCCTTCCAAACATGCAGTAAACTTCCTTCATTAAATAACCAAAAATTACAGAAATTTCTGCCAACTCCCAAACTCTCCTTAAAGTGTTCGAACTTTGACTTTATGACAAAGTTCTAATAAACTTTTCGTCGTTGTTGTGCACTCACACAAAGGCCACCCACAAAAACACACACACAGGCGCACATACTCGTACACACACACACACACACACACACACACACATAAACCAACAACAGTGTGCACAAAAATGCCAGCAAATTGCTTACATAATAAATAATAATAATAGCGTGCGATTTTTAGCGCAATTTAAATTTATTTATGGCACTTGTTTGTTCGCATGTCATGCGCAAGTTTTAGCCAGACATTTTTGCGCCCACAAAGAATCGACGTTCAAATGGGCGTGGCCGTGGTTTTGGTGGCCAAGGTGGTTAGGTTTTCAGGTGCTTTTAGCACCCAACCACCCAAAAAAAAAAAAATAAGAAAAAAATGGTGGCAAAGGCGAAGGAGGCGGAGGAAGGCAAAGGTGGGGTTCAGAGTTCAACCATTTGCCTATTTTTATCATTTGCGGCTTATCCCGGCTGCCTGGCAACCTGAATGTGCGCAAAAGCATTCAAGCTGCTTAGTGGCAGCGATGTCGACTCATAAATCCTGCCTGGGGATGTCCTCCATGTCCTCGTCTATGTCTTATCGCATTCCCCCAATCGAAACCGCCGGCAAGGATTCAGGATTCAGGATTCGGATTCAGCAGGACGAACACAAAAGACGCAAACGAGGGGTCAGATGGATGAAAATGTTAGAGATTGCGATGGGCGATGGAGATGGAAATGTAAGTGGAAATGAAAATGGGCCTGCTTAAATGGCAATTAGGCAGCCGCACTTACTGACAGCTTCCTTTGGCCACTGAATGATGTCATCGGGCTGTCTGGGGATAATTAATGCAATCGCAGGTCGTCGCTAAAAGAAATGCATGTTCGCCGACCCCAGAAATCACAATGGTGAAATCACAAAAAAAAATCCGGGCGACTAGGGTTACCAAGTGCTGAAATTAATCACCTTTTTGCTCGAACCCTTATCCACTGTTTTTTATAGACGTTCGAGTGAAAGGATGGATCATGAATGGAGGGGAGAAAAGTATTTATTTTTAATCACCGAGGTCAGGAACAAAGAAATTTTAGGGGAACCTGCTTAAAATCTTTAACGTTTTTAAAAGTTCTTGGATTTATAATTTCTATTTAAAAATCATTTTTCATTTAAATTTTGTACAATTTGTACAACATATACAAAGGGATATCAGTAAAAGGAAACAAATACACATTTATTTATAAACTTGATTACTGTAATGAAAAACAAGAAAATTGCGACATAATATAATTAGGAAAACAAATTTAATGAAGTGCCATTTGACAAATGCATTAGCCATAATTATTTCAAATCCTGCAATTCCTCCACAATCTGTTTGTTTATCTTTAAGTCCTTCGGTAATTTTCTGCACTTGTAAAAGGGAAAAGGGAAAATTTGAAGTGGGAACATGCGGCTTGAATTGTTTTCGAAAGTGCGCATTCCTCGGCGATTAAAATGATTAATGGGCAATGAAAACAAAACAATTTGAAGACTCGGCCAAATAACAAGTGCTTAGCCATTGGGTTGAGTGTATGTGCAATTAATGTTGTTATTATTATTGATGTTTGTTGCTGCTCTTGTTGTTGTTGTTGTTATTGTTTATTATGCAGGCAAGTTATAAAGGCGAGTGTGTGTGTGTGTGTTTGTGAGTTTTTGGAGGGTTTGCGGGTAAATATGCATATGTTTTCGGTGTGGACACGTCCATAAAGCCCCCTTCTGCACTCACTCAGGCATTCATTTGCTCGTTTGTTTATTTATGTTAATTTAAATCAACATGCAAAAATTAGCACATGACACAAAGAGGATGTGGAATGGAAAATGGTGAAAATGGCGATGGTGCTGCTGCTGCTGTTTCTACCGAATGATGATGAGTGGGCGCCGTGGGCGGCAGATAAGTTTTGTGAATTTGCGGCGTGGCTCGAAAACATTTAATTTATTTAATTACTTGCCCCTTAATTTGCATATTTAAATGAATTGCCGCAAAGCCAAGGCTAAGTGTCTGCCAGTGGCTGAACTTCTGGCTAATAACTGGATGACACGCTGGATGACGGAAGGGCGCAGTCGCCGGCAGAACCGGCAAAACGTAAGGTAATGTATGAGAATGTGTTTCGCCCTCGGGGCTTGACTTCTGGCCCCGAAATCAGGTCTACGGATAAGGTGAAACACTCAGAGAAAAATCATGATTCATGGCAAAATAAAAAAAATATAGTGACATTTGTTTAGTCCTATTAAAATGGCAAAGTAGTAATTTCTAATATTTATTACAACTAAAAGAGAAGAATTTAGGGTTGATTGATTGAAAGTTTGTTGAAAGATAGCAAACATCTTAAAAGTATCAGCATGATATAATTCCGTTAATATTTACGTCCAAAAAAAATATAAAAGACTTCCTAAATTTATATTCTTATAATTTATATTCATCATTGCACGTAACTATTAGTATTATTTATGCAAACAGTATTTTTTGATTGGGCATGTTATTAAGGTTTGCATTTTATAATAACTTTATTGTTCTAGATAATTTCCCCATTAAATAACCCCCATGTTTCCAAGTGCATTCCAAACTTTGTGATTGATTGAGTCGAATGCAAACGTGGCTTATTAGCTCTAGCGTTTGGCAAATGTTTTATGCCTCAATTTCGAAAACATGAACGTGGAATGTTGGCGGTTCCGGGCAACTTTCATTCGATTTCTTCGCGCTTTTATGGCCGGGAATTATTATTTTTGTATTTGTATTTGTTGTGTTTAACGCAAGTTTTTGTGCAGACATTAATTGCTAAAATTTCTCGCCTAATGGCTGCAAGGGGGAGCCAAAATTGTTCTGGTTTTGAGAGGGGGCTTGTGGTGGGGGCTCTGTGAAATGAGATTTCAACCGCAAAACAACAGCAAACACAATTTTGGCTTTCGGCTCGCAATGTGATGTTCTCAATGCGGGCAATAAAATAACAATCAACGCAAGCCGCGGTCGCCATTCGAAGGTGGGGCAACTCCCCGCGGGGTTGGAAAGAGGGGATGGGTGGTGGTTAGGGGGTGGTGGACACTACTAGCAGACAATGGCAAAACAAAGGCAGTACCCTAGGTAAATCTAAAATTAAGCTGTGATATTTCAAATATTATAAGGGATTGTATATTTATAAAAATATATCTGTTATAATTTATAGTGTGCTAAATGCATATTAAGAAAAGTGTTAATTTAGACTTTTGAATAAAAAACATTCCAGTTTTGCTTTAACAACGAAATTTATAAATTTTGATGTTTTTCTTTTGGTTTTACCAATTCCACAAACAAACTACAACAGCGACAACAATTAATAGATGATAATTTGGATCTAGGGTATTTGGAACAAAAGGGTAAATGCAAAGTTTACCTCCTCTTGCCCCAACCAAAAAAACCTTTGGTGGGTGATGGGTGTTCCTGGGAGTCCTGGGCGCACTTGCAGCCTTCCCCTTGCAATCGAAAAGTTGCTGGGAATGCCCAGTTTGCTGGGCCCAAACTAATAAAATAAATTAAATCGTTTAATTGAAGTAAATTGCCTATAAAATTGTTTTTCGAAAGTAACCGCAAGAGATGGTACGGAAAGGGGGCTTGAAAGGGGAAAAGGGAGAGAAGGGGGGTATATTTCGACCATAATTGAGTAATAAATTCAAATATTTATTGCATCAACAAATGTACAAACTGTGTTGGCACAAATTGTGGAACGCCAAGTGTTAAGTGAGAAGAACGATGGCCAAAAAGAAAGGCTTTGGGCCATTTCAATTAAGTGCCCTACAAGTTAGGCAATCCTTTCCCAAAGCTACATACTTTTCCACTTTGCAGTATAAAATCGAAAACAAAAAAAACATGAAAATGAAAAAAAAGGAGTACAAAAACTGGTGGACCATCGGGGCGTATGCGTAATATGCATAAATATTGAATGACTTTTTGGTGTGACATCAAGCGATGTGCACTCACCACTTAAACACACACGCACACACATACACACACACTGAAAGAAAGTCTCCAGTTAACCAGAGAACGAGCGAGTCTGTCTGGGGTGAAAGTAAAGTGAAAGCGTATGTAAAATACTTTCACGCGCCCAGTGAATAATTTAAGAGGCGACAACACACACACTTACAGTGGAAAATTCGCCGAACGAGAGGGGGAATCCATCAAGTTTGCACCCCATCTCGGCCGTCTTCATCAAGCCACTCCTGGCCCAAAAAAAAAAAAAACAAAAAAAACAAGAAAGAAAGCTGGAAAAAAAAGCGAAAGAAATGAGTTACTTTACATAACTAAGTAATTTCCAAGCTGCCGGCAGCGACACAAACGTAAAATTATTATAAACAAACCATTCGGCAGTCGTAAAAAAGGAAACACGCCGAGCATCCAAGTATCTGAGTATCTTAGTATCTGAGTATCTGAGTATCCAAGCTGTCGGAAGATGAAGCCATGGCTAAAATGTACAAAAAACCGCATAAAAGGTCCTCGCAAATTTTGTCATTATGCAAACATCGGCTGGCAAAGAGTATAAAATACAAAACATATTTAAATGCAATAAAGCAAAACGGAGTGGCTGGGAAATTTCCTAAGGGGGCGGTGGAGGGTTGTGAAAAT